ACAAACCAACAAGGGGCACTGATACAAAAAGGCTTATTTATTATTTTGGGAGGATGATTGAAAATGCAAAATTAACTGGAATGACAGAATTAACAGGTCAGCTCATACTTTCAGCAGTGGGAAAGTCTACATACTTGGAAAACCAAATTCACATCAGTTGGTTGTTTGTTTACTATAAGGTTTTTTAAAAGGAAAAGCGGAAAAGTGTGGCTTCAGGGCTCTGGCAATGGGCTTTACTTGCAAAGTTCTTCTTGCACCGGCCTGGCAGTAGAGAAAAGTTGGCAGAGCAGACCATCCTCTTGGATGACCATGGGACCCTACTTCTCTTAGCCCAGCTCCCATTTTCTGAAATTCACTCCCACCTGCCATTACCACCTCCTGTGAGACGTTGGCTGCCTTCTTGGGGTTCCCGAGGAAAGAAAGCAAGAGCTTGTACATTACTTTAACAATTCAAAAAGTCTACTAGAAATCACACATTTTCCTGAAATAAGGACACTTAAGCTAACTAAAATGTAATTTTTTGCGAATATCAGCTCATATTTTAGAGATCTCACTTCAGAGATCAACCCAACAGAAAGTTTTCTCTGATTCCCCCACGGGCTTATTCTCTAAGACTCTCTGCATGCTTCTAATATTGTTTACTTTTATTATTTATTCATATGTCTGTCCCCCAACTGGACTGTAAATTTTGATTTATTCATCTTTCTATCTCCAATTGGCGTATATAGTAGTTGTTCAATAAATGCTTGTTGGATGAGTGAAGACTGCATGGTGACTACCAGAAACTAGACAAATTATGCATACATCTAATTAATACAATTATCAACTGAACTAGTACTTAATGCACAAAGTTTGATAAGTAATTCTTGGGGTATGTGGGAAAATGAAAGTTTGATAGACAATATTTGGGAAAATTAATATGTTCTTTTCTTTTTCTTTGAGATGAGGTCTTACTCTGTCACCCAGGCTGGAGTGCTGGTTGCAGTCTCAGCTCACGGCAACCTCTGCCTCCTGAGCTCAGGTGATCCTCCCACCTCAGCCTCCCAAATAGCTGTGACCGCAGGTGTGCACCACCACACCTGGCAATTTTTTTGGGGGTAGGTAGAGATGGGGTTTCTCCATGTTGCCCAGGCTGGTCTTGAACTCCTGGACTCAAGTGATCCTCCCACCTCGGCCTCTCAAAGTGCTGAAATTACAGGCATGAGCCACCTTAGCTGGCCCAAAGGAATTCTTAACAGCAAAAAAATCAGGGCTTATTGAACTTTAACATTACCTAGATGGGAAAGGTTGGGATAAATTAGACTAGTTCATGATAGTCTGGACCTTTCAGAGGTCAAGGGAGCCCTCGACTACTTTTTTTTTTT